ACAATAAAATTAACTTTAATAAATAAATAAAGTTTCCAAAGAAATGGAAATCTAAACGATCATTTTATAATACTATTAGACAATCAAAATATTGATAATTATATTAAAATTTATTTAGCATTTTCTATATTAAAAAAATTTGAGATTACAAAATTTTAATTTTTCAAAATTGCTATAAAATTATTAGAACTTTTGAAAATAAATTATCCAAATCTTTTATCGATTTGCAACTTTTCCGTTTGCTAACATTTTTTTTCAGTTTTAAAATCTTTTTTTTTTGTGATAATTTGTTAAGACAAATAAAATTTCAGGAATAATATAAACTAAGCTTATAGGAATTTTTGGAAATATAGATTATGATATAGGCTAATTATTTATGATTGTAGAATGATACTATCACTTAATAGTATTTTTTTCTTTTTTACAAACATTTATCAGATTTTCAAAGTATATTATATCGTAATATTTGAAATTATAAAATTGATGAAAGAAAATTTTGGTTTTTTGTTGCAAACTAACGAAATGAGGGAAAATATTTAAACGAATTAAAAAGTTGAATTTTCAAAAGAATAATATTGGAAGTATTTAGAAAAGTTTCAACTCATATAATTCTCCAATAATTTTCCCCGTTTATCATTAATCTGTGCTTCTGATAAAACTGATAAAAAATAATCAACAAAAGTTACTCAACAAAAATTTTTCCTTAATTTTCTTCCTTTGAAAATTAATGAAAAAATATTTGACAAAAAACTTTACACTTTACTTTTTGTGTCTTTTCTTTCACTCTTTCTCTTTTCTTCTATTTCGCCTTCGACATCCTTCCCAATTTTGAAAATGAAATTTAAAAAAGAAACATTACTCTTAATTTGTTCATTGGCCATTAGTAAATAAAAGCTGTCGGGAAGGAAGCTTACAGCTGTTATTCCATCATCACATAGTTTTCATTTATCATTGTTGTGTGAAAATTCGAAACTTTCTTCACTTTCTTTTAGAAAAGTATATATTTGAATAGAAGTGAAGGATTTATTTCGCTTAAACAAACTATCATTTTTGAATTTTTGAAAATTTGAAAAAAACCTTGAAAATTTCCAGTTATTAATTATCCCATTTTGTCTAAATTTTAATTATTTTAATATTTTGTTTTATGAATTTTGGAGTGTTCGAAAATAGTTATAGCAATTTTCAATATTTACATTAAATGCTCTTTCTTCTCACAAACTTACCTGTTTTTGTCCTTTCTTATTTTTACTAATTGATCGCCAGAAGGCTTTTTTATTTTCATAAAATTTTTTACAAATATATACGAGCAACATTCAACAGAAGATTCCGAATCAATTATGCTAATGAAATTTGATTTCATATGCATCAATTGTTCAGATGTGCAGAAATAAATTTCATGAAAATTTTGAAATAGATTTCGTAAGCTATTTAGCAATTTCAATATTTTTTATATTTGTGAAACTTTTTTTTAACAGAAGAAAATTTTCTTTAAAGTTCTTTTATCCATCGAATAAATTTGTCATTGTCCTAACAGATGGCTATTTCAAAGCAGGTTATCCTTAACTCATTTCATGGAAATCGAATCATTTAATTTTGCTACCAGTCAATTTGGTTGACCAATATTCATTTTGCGTTTTTGATCAAGATATAAATTAATATCTTAAAAATGTACGATTTTTTTAAATTTAGTAAAAATTTCCAATAATATGCTATCGGTACCGGTTTATTACCACTAACAGTTGTTAATTAAGGATGAAAGTCAAAAAAACAAAAGAAAAAATGAAAGTATAATTAATCAGAAGGTAAAATTTCTTAAATCAAATCAAACTCACATGTCAAATTTATAAAAAAATTTTTCTTTTTCTCAAAATTATTTAAGTTTTCTTTTAATTTAAATTTATTCCTATCTTATTGATTATTAACTAATAATTATTTATTTATAATAATAATTATATTTGTTTACAATAATTAGCGAAAAACTTTAATATTCTCTCAATTTTTCCATTTTCATGAAAGCGGCAAGAATGAGAAAATAGAATTAAATTGATGGAAAATGCTTCATTTCGGAAACACTTAACCTTTTTGAAAATATGCTATTTCGAATTTGAAGAGAATAGAGGAAATTATTATTTGAAATAATTATTGCCATCGTATTATCAAAATTTTTTTTAATATCAATTCGATCAGATCATTTTTCTACAACAATTAATTGCTTAACATTGTCATACTTAATTACACAATAATTTCAAGGTATTTTAAAATTTCAAAATGGAATTAATTCATTCTCAATAGTCGTAATCATTGTTTGCATATTCATTCAAAATTTCTCCGTTATAAAAATATTAATTTGGCATTAATACAAAAACTTGAATTGAAGAATTAAATCATAAAACAGATTGAAATTTTGACCGAAGAATTAAGTTAGTTCTGCAATCTAATTCAAATTTGAAGTCTATTGAAGAATATTTCTTTGTCTGTGGAAAAAAACTAATTTCGTTCGAAAATAAATGCGTCAGAAGAAATTTATGAAGTTCCGGGAATAGCAATTTCCATGGCAGCCCTCAAAATATTCTTTAAAAAAAGGATAGATAGAAAAAGTCATTCTGAGATATATTTGAAAATATTTTCCTCCTTTTAGTCTATTCCTTCTTTTTTTACGTTTTATTTTTAAAAAAAATGAATCAAATTTAGCTCTTAAAAATCAAAGGAAAATTTGTGTAATTTACAAATATCGTAATTAATTTCTTTTGTTTTTTTTTCAACAACTTTAATTTCTTCAATGATATGATTTTTTCAATCGTTATTATTATTATTATTATTATTATTATTATTATCACTACCATTATTATTATTATTATTATTATCATTAAGGTAGTAATTGTTGCAAATTTGAATTAATCTAAACTCCGTGCAAACATGGAATTAAATTTTGTCTTAAGAATGCAATTTAATATAATTTTATCGTTGAGAATTTTTTACTATTCGTCGATAGACGATTTATGGTCAATGCGTGTTTAATTGCCAGTCTTCTAAAATAATTATTATTTATCGATGAAATAAATTTTTTGCTAAATCGATGCATATTATGCAATATTTCTTCAGTAGTGTGCTGCATATTAAGCAATCAAATAATTTGAATAAATAATTCTATTTTCATTTTCTTATTTAATTCACAAATACATACATTTGTGCATCGATCAACCAACCAAATAATACATCAAAAAATATTCGCTAATTATATAATATAATTATGTTTTCTATAATGAATGAGCTTCGTTTAGCATAAAGCAAAAATGGGTAATAAAGAATCAACGAACTTTCGTGAATCTACTAGAATAGCTTATCAAACATCCTACAAAAGACATTCACATACGATGTCACCCTCTCGAAAAAGAACTGAATCATCAATTCAATATCCGCAAAGGTATCATAATTTCATTTACAATTTAATTCTGTCCATTATAATTTCTTTACTCATTTAAAATTTCCCATTTTTTTCATTATTTTTGCATTTTAATTAAAAATACAAAATTTTCGAATTACTTTTAAAGTGTAATTTGGTTTTATTGAATAAAATTATTTGAAATTTTATCATAGAAGCATTCATTATTACTATTACTATTATTATTATTATTACTATTATTATTATCATTATTATTATCATTATTATTATTCTCATTATTATTATCAATATCATTTTTATTATTATTATTATTGTTATTATTATTATTGTTATTATTATTATTATTATAAATGTGCACGCAGAAATATTTGTGCAGCATTTTTGTTTTGGTTAAATGAAAATGAGGAAAATAAAAGAGAAAAAAGTTAATTGCAGTATCATTTTTGCTTTGATGTTGCAGCTACCAATTATTATTTGCCAATTACCTTTAAACTATCTTTTAAAGAAAAATTGTTTACTTTTGTTGAATGTAAACAATTATTTTGCAACAAAGAAAAAAAGAAAAACTTTCATCTTTACAGCAGCAAAATAAACTAAATTTTCTTCTCATTGAAAGAAAATTTAATAATAATTGACAATTTCTTTAACATTTTTTCCACAAAGGAAAAAAGCGATAATTATCTTCTTTTCTTTCATAATTACATTATAATCCAATTTGATAGATTGTTTATTGTTCTATTCAACCATTCTAATTTGCTTTTAATTTTAATTTTTATGGAGACAATTTGATTATATATTAAGGTAATCAAGGTGGGAAAAAAACTTTCAAATAACTAAATGAACTTCAATTTCTCTAATTTAATATGTAATATACAAATTTTCCTTCCCATCATTTTCTCTTTCTTGCTGCTTAATAACAACAAGTTAACAAAGCCAAGATGGTCCATAATTACTTCGCCTAATTATAATTTCACTTTTTTGAAACTCACAAAATTTCTCATAAATCCAAAAATTTAATTATTTTTTTGATTTAAAATAAATTTTAGTTCCCGTAAATTATCAAGTTTTCGAAAAGAAGAAGAAACCGAATTACCAATTGTTTCAATCGAAAAGAACCGTAGTAAATCATTTCGTGCTACCTCTGAAAGGTATCAACCGTGGTATATCCGCTTTTCTTTCAACATTTACTTTTTTTCACTACATTTAGAAAACAAAAAAAAAATTACTTTAATGAATAAAATCAACAATTAACATATTTGGCACATTTTAGACATAGATAATTATGAGTTTTTACTTGATTTTAACTGATCATACGTTTCACGTCAAACGTAACCGGAAAGTGAATCTTTTTCAATGACCATTTAATTGATGTTATTAACTGTTATTTTCGCTCAATTATCAGCTTTTTTGAAATTTCTGAAAATGATTATCAGCAATGCACTTTGGTATAAAAAGAGATTTGTAAAATCAGCCTAAAAATTGAAATCTTATTAAAAATTAAAACTATGAAGTAAAAGTGAAATAATTTATAATATATAAATTAGAAGGAAATTTTTGTTTCGTTTCATTTTTCTTTTTCTTCTTTTTTCTCAGATATATGGATGGTATCAGACGACGATCGAATATTTGTGGAATTACTGGTTTGAGTGCGCATCAAAAAGTAATCTTGACGACAATGTGGAGACAATTACCACGTAGTTTAGTATTTGATCTCGGAAAACGTGTCTTTCAAATAATCTTTGAACGGGATCCAAAGTTATTGATAGTAGTTAATTTAGAACATCTTCAAAATACTGACCAGTGGCAAGAACATGTAAACTTCCGAACGCATGCTCAAGTGAACTTTTGATTTTTTTTTTTTTTTGAATTGATTAATGCTTAAAAACATTCCAGGATTAATTAGGAGAGAGAGAGAAGAGGAGGAGAAGAAGAAGAAACGAACAAAGTAGTAAAGATAATGGAAAGTAAATTTTTGAAATTGATGGCAATTTTGTGATTATTTGATGAATAATTAATTGCATATCAGAGAAATGAATTTGATGCATTAAAGATAAAGATGTAAGAAAGTATTGTTCAAATTATTTAACAAATTTATTTCATTGTAGCAAAAAATTGGAATAGAATTATTAATTCAAATAACCAATAATTAAAATCACAGCAATTAACAATCATTTAACACGTTATTACCAATGAATAATATATCAGTCTGTCACTGATTATCCTTCTGATTATTGCTATCAAATCCTTCTCCTCTTCTTCCTCTTATTACATATTAAAAAATAAAAGATAATAAATGCTATCACTTAGCTATTCTACTTTTTTCTCGTAATTATTTCAGACAATCGTACTTTTGTAAGATTCAAATTTTTATCAAAATGCATTATTAAAAGAATCTTTAGAATTTTATGTGAAATTAAAATTAAATTTCAATTATATACTGCAATATCATCCTATCAGATATACTAATGCAATATCATCCTATCAGATATACTAAAATCGATGTTTTCAAAATGTTTTTTGATCAATTTTTTTTCTTGCTAAAAAAATCAATTAAATAATCTAATTTTTGGGTGAAAATTTAAGCTATTTCAGCAAATATTTTTGCTATAATTTGGAAGTTGCAGCAAAAAAGTAATGAAATTTCATTTTAACGCCAAAAAATAATCTTTTCATTTTACTATTAGAGAATGAGAAAGAATTATTTCGATCTTTTTCATTTACTTCTTTTTTTAAACTTTAATTTTAATTTTAGTGATAAATGAAGTTTCTCTTCAACTCATATAATTTAACTAATAGAAATTTTTTTTTAACTTCTCATTTATCTTTTATTGCCAATTAATTTAATTTGGTTTTTGCAAATGATAAATATAATAATATAATTAGCAATCTCCTAAAAAAAGACAAGGTAAAAAACTTTTATAAATTATTCAATATGGTTATCGGTCATCTAAAGGTAAGTAGCAAAATCATAACGTTTGTTTTATTTAATTAAATTTATCGAATTTCTTTTTCTTTTTTTTCAAAGAATAGCATTCTATTTCAGCGTTTCACCCATGCGCTATCGCAATCAATGCGCAATTTGGCAGAACCAATCGTAGCAGCTGATCGATTACAAGAATTTGGCGCAGCTTACGTAAATCAGGAAGATTCTGCTTATGGAGGCTTTAACGCCTGTATTCCGCACAACTATTGGAACCGACTCTCGGCGGCAATTACGACAACAGCGGAAGAATTCCTAAACAAACAACAAGTGAAAGGTTTCATTTCTATTTTTCACTTTTTGTTTCAGCTATATTTTTTATATAACAATTATTTGTTTACTATTATTTGTTTATATAATAAATTTTTGATTTCAAAAGATTCTTTTGAATGCACCATTTCCTTTGAGTTTCGTTTTCAAAAGAAAATTGCAATAATTAAACGAGAATATCCAAATAACTTAGCTACAATTCTATTGGTCGTAATTGATACTTGAATTATATAAATTATATTAAACAGAGGAAGAAAATTACATTGAATTTACCTCTTAAACGATTGACACTAAAATTAAATAGCTTACATTTAAATAAATGCGAATGGTAAATAAATAGAACTACTTAAACATACTTCTGAAATTATAGGTTCAAATAAAAATTTAACAATTGATGATGGATTATCGGAAAATGAAAAAAGGAATCTGAGGAGTTTATTTCCACAGGTTCAGACTTGCCATTTACTTTTTCGTTCTTTTGGAATAAAAACAAATTATGCTAGAACATTATGATCGATTATTAGTATTTGTCGAATTCTAATTTAGTTCATATTTTTTCTGATATTTCACATATAACAACTGAGCAGCTTCAATTTGAAAATTAATTTTTCTGAAGTTATAGATTCGAGGATTCTGAAGTTATAGATTTAAGGATGGCTGAATTTGCATAGGTTAGATGAGATGAACAAATAAGCAAAAAGTATAACAGGAAATAGTCAAAAGCATTGAATGTAATTAGAAGAAAAAATTAAATGCTAATTAAAATATCCGCAGGTTTCGGCAAATATCAGTATCTGGAGCACATTGGCGCAATTCATTTCTAATCAGATCCGATTTGGCTATGAAATGGAACTAATGCTGAGAGTGGAACTGAAGAAACTCAATGTTGACGGACAAATGAAAATTACCCTAAAATGATTAGCTAATTAAAAATGATAAACCTGAGCTGATATTTATTATGCTTTTAGATACAAAATAATAATAGCATTGAAACAATAAAGAACTACAGGGAAGTGTTCTAGCAACAATGTTTAGATGATTTTTGTTCCAATGACTTTTGATTTTTTGAAGCGATCAATCCCATTAGATGTCTGCGTTAAGACTTCTCTAACATTTTCCACTCCCTTAGGATCATTTATTTGCTTAGCTTTGCTATTTTATGTTGTAGAACGACTTATCGCATAAGATGATTATTAATATGCATTATAACTAATCACATTACCAATGTTTTCCGTTTTCGACTATATTTTTGGATATGAATTTTTATATTTGGTAATGTTTTGATCAAATTTTTCAGATCATCTTTCCGAGAAATATTCCAAATCGTCCTTTGTTGGCAATATTGTGCTTGAATTGTATATTTCTCTATCTGTATATATATATGTGTATGTGTGTGTGTTTGGAACTTTCTCAAATCCACGAGCAAATTTCTTCCTGAATGTGCAAAATTTAAATTTAAAAAAGAATTTAAAAAATTTCTAATGGATTTCACTCATTTATTATTTAATGATAACAAAGAAAAATGATTTTATATCCAAAATATGAAAAGGAATGAAGGCAAGTTTTTTAATAAAGAGGCAGTGCTGACGAACTATGTAATCCGTAACTAATGAATCCGTATTTGATGAAATGTCCGTAAAGAAGAAAAGTGGTTGAATGAATAAAAATTCATGTTTTGACAATAATGCAGTGGCGCTATTTGTTTAACTAAGTGTCACCAGGAAGCTTATATCTTAAGCTATTTTTATATTATATCATGTTAATATTATATGAATGGTGATACCTATCTTTATGAGATCCAGGCTTCAACCAAGGAAAACTTGATTTTATTCTTCATATATTTTAATTTGGTTAGTTGGAAACGGCAAAATACAACGTAAATTGAAGGAAACAACAGAAAATGAATTGAAGGACTTTTGAGAGAATTAAATTAAGACAAGAAACTTACGAGCAGAAGGAAATCCTGAATAAACCTTAGCTCTGAATTGAGGATATATACTAACGGGATATTAGATTACGGCAGTATTAGAATTAAAAAAAGAGTAGCTTCGTTAATAACGGTTGTTTGTTTTATCTTCATCGATATTGCCGTTGACGAGTGGGATTCAAAGCCATTCGTACAAAGACACTACTGCAATGCCTTACACGGTCAGCCATCTTACCCACGAAGAGATAACCTCGTTTGAGAAATCCAAAGGTGAATTTTATTAAAAAATAGTGTAATGATTATTGCTACGGTAATTTAGAGATAGAAGGAATTCAAAACAATTCATCTTGAAAATGTGGCAACAGTAATATCAAATACTTCGATTAGTCAAATTAATTTCGATTTTAAATTTACGTATCAGTATTATTTGTCTCGGTTACATCAACTATTCTTTAATAGTTTGCAATAATAAGAACGGTCGATTGGATATATGTGTATGTGTCTGTACGTGTGAAGTATCTGTCTGTATGCTTGAATAGAGTACAAATTGCAAAACTTATTGTAATGCAATATCACTGGAAAGAGAAATTATTAAATTCGAATAAGCAAAATTTATTTCAGTACAGATTCAAGAATTAGAAACAAAAGTGAAAGTAGATGATATTAATGGTGATCAATGAATATGGTTGATTGATTTATGTTCTGCATTACTTTAGAATATGATGAAGGATTGCTAATAAGCAACCGATTTTTTGTTGAATAAAGATGAAATAAAGTAGAGAGAGATTTGGATCACACTGAAATGTATTCCATGCTAGCAAAACGAACATTCTGTTAATGATAATAGATTTAGCCATGCATTAGTCTACGAACCATCTATTCCATACTTATTCATCATTTCTTATCATAATGATGATATTGTTGTAAAGCATAAAAATAAAAAATAATAATGAAATAATTAAAGCAGCGATTGAAATTTGAATTCAAATAAATTGTTTCCGATATAATTTATCCATTTACTGATTTATTCAAAAGCAAAAAACAAAACATCATAACTCACTTCCTTGATTGCTTTTAAATTTAATCTTGAAATTTTTTTGGAAAGTATGTTTCATGCCATTCGTTAATTTTATGTAGCAAACGATAGGACCATTCGGCAGCAAAAAATATGGATGCATTTGCTGGGATTGCACTAAAAAGAAAAATGAAGAAGGAATTTTCGAATAAGATTGTTTCATTAATTCGATCAAATTTCTTTAACATTTTCTTATCATTTATCTGATACACTGATTTAACTGATATTTTACTAAATGCTATTGATTTGTTGATAACGAATCATTCCAACAGTACATCTAATTACAGAAACTTCTATAAAAAACAATCGTTCATGTCGAATGCATAAATGGACAAATACAGTCATCCATCCCATTCTTTCCGGGAATTTAAAGAGACTAAAGCAATTAATCTTTTAAATATTTATGGATGAATGATACAACTGTGCATAGTAAGTGATAACGAATAGCTAGCTACTCTTTTTGATCTCATAACTTGGAAGATTTTTAAATTTCTAAAATCCCTTCGAAATTTAACTCACTACTCATTGTTAAAAGCATATTGTGTTAGTAGCTAAAAAATTAATTGTCAAGTATACCGCAAAACAGTGGCGGAAATGCCGGCGGAAAAACCTTTGATGCCATAAATTCTCATAATATTTTGACAAACTTGTCTGTATGAAAACATGCTGTCGTCAGCTTGAAATTGCGTTTTTATCACATCCAAAGGATAATTACATATCCAAGACATAACACCCGCAATGCCTGAAATATTTTATACAAAAAAAGAAATCAATCTATATTTTCAAAGATGAGAATAAAGAAAATAGTATTGATGGTAAGAATAATCAAATTATCATAATAAGTTAAGTGTTCTAATATAATTATGACTAAAAATTATGATATAACTTAATTGTAAATATAATTATAAGTTTAAACATGGCAATAGCCTTGTGTAAATCGTGTGTTTGTATAAGGACTGAACTTTTATCTTTCTTTTGCTCAATCAATTAATTAATAATTTAAAAAGTAGCCAAAATATTAATAAGTCGAAATGTAACCTCCAGCTAGAAGTAACTGGGATGTAGTTAGCGATGAAGCTGTACCATCTCTGCTTAATTTTTGTGTACAAAATTCATATGTGACAAACCAGATTCCATATCCGGGACAATCTCGAGCAACTGTAATCCATGTACCTCTTAAATAGCATATTTCTCAAGTAGAAAAAGATAGAATATTTCAATAACAAATATTTATCATCAAAAATGCATGAATAACTTTCATCACTTTAACTTACCTATATATTGATAAAAATCCGTGTTCTTTTATCATCTTTTGAGCGCAATCATATGCTGATGTATATAATTTTTTCCTGTTATCCTTCTAAATAATTGAATTTTTGCAATATATTTCGAACATAAATAATATAAAAACAAAAATTTTTTTTCATAACAAATTAATTTGATAATTTCATAATTAAAACAATAACAAACAGTAAAATAAAAAGTTTTGAAGAAAGAAAAAGAAATATCAGTGATAATTTTGAAGACAGAAATTTATGAAGGAAAATCCTAAATGTTTGAGAAATTCATTTATTCTATTAATAGTAAAAAAATTTCTTTAAAATTTCAAAATTCCTTATAACCAATTAGCAGAAATGCATTTCTTATCATCTATTTTATTTAATTAACAATATACTTGTAGTTGTAATTTAATCTTAAGCAATTCTGATGGGATACATATACTACACTGGGCAATACCAGCAAGACTGCCAGCAATAAATGATCCAAGTAGATTGTGATAATTGTCGAAAAGTTTGATTGTATTACCGTAGATGCCAAATACTATGGCATGAATTGCTGTAAAACTTATCAATGGACTTGACATTCCTGAAAATCATTGACATTTTCGACATTTATGAAAGTATTTGAAAATTTTCCGAAATATTCTATAAAAATAACGAATAATAGTGATTTTGTTAGGACCAAATTAAATATTTAACTGATTCTAAAATTTCACATGATTATAATTCATTTTTAGACATGACGATATCAGATGATAAGAATAGATTCTTTTCTATCATCCTATTATAAATATATAATCTACTACTATGTTTATTCAACCTTCTCTACTCATTTATTTCAATTGTAAAATATTAGATTCAATGAAAAGTGCGCAATTTTAGTATCAACATTTTAATATAAAAGTTTCATTTTTAAATAGTGAAAAAAATTTCATCTGTTATTCGTCAGTGGTAAATATTAAATAAAAGAATAGTAAGAGTATTGAAAATGTTTTCTAATATAAACAAAGTTTCTGACCTTTAAAAAATCCTAAGATGCTTTCATTTCGAATGATCGATGAGCAACATCGATAAACATTTTGAGTTTCAGTTTGTTGACGTATTCTAACCGTATCCAATGGATGACCTGTTAGCACACCCGTTGCGCCTATGAAAAATCTTAATTAGTATTTAAAATTCGAGTTTGAACAGATCCTAGCTTTCTGATTAACCTTTACTTCATATCACTTGCTCCTTTTTTTAATTAATATCATCAATATGTATGATTTATTCAAATTGCATATTTCATTTAAAGAGAAGCATAAAATGTTATCCAAAATTAATGAAAAATAAGAGAAGAGGAAGTGAAAAATTCATCACCGACGTAAATCAAATTTTTATGCTTCTCTTAAATTAGGAAAAATGGAGGGATGGGACAAAAAAAAAACAACAATCTGTCAACATTACAGTTTTATCTACCAAGTAATGGAAATTCAAAAAAAAAACTGTATGTGACCTGCTGTTACTCCAATTAGATAGTGTAGGACGGGTTCAAAATAGCCAAATTGTTCAAGATTTCGATCGTAATGGTCACTACAGTAACCTACAGTAAACATCGTAAGATGCGATCGAAACATCGAATTAATTAAGCATTCACAATAGCATTTGATAACTGAAAATACATTTTTCAGCTAATTTAGTTATCTTAAAATACAACCAAACAATTAAATTAAATGTGAATTCAACTAAGTTGTTCACCAATGTATTGTCATCATCTACGCTTAAATTTACATATTTAATACCAACAGAAGGTTGTTTATCTTTCGAAGATGAACACAAATTATGTAAATGGGATTGAGTTAGAAAAATTCTCAATATGCAATGAAACTTTAGTTTCGATAAGCGAAATCAAAAGCTAAGAGATAATAGTAATGTAAACGATGTTTTTTCCTTTCTAAAAGCAATTTTAGTTGGTTAATGAATCAATCATATTAGCATCTAAACCTCAAATAATAACAATTTCTCTTACAAATCTTAATCAATAAACAATGATTAACCAATGAAAAACAATTATTAATTGCTCAATTCATTATTAAACATAGTCGGAATCAATTCGTTGCTTATATCCAAGTTCGCTTCAACAGTAAATATGAAATAAAGAGTATTGAGTGGAAGTATTCCTTAGACCCAAGCAACTCAGCACAATTATGTTTTCTTTTTGTTGGCTTTTAACAATTTCAATTTGAGAACCCTATACTCTACCTCGTTTTTTCTCTGCACTAAATTCTCCGTTTATGCTGATCAGAGATCACGGATCTTTTGAAGATAAACGAAGTCTTCAAAGTCTGCTATTAAGAGAGGCATATATTTTTTACTCATTCTTGTGATGTGTTGATGTCAGTTCATTTGAATTATTTAATAAGGCATTTGAAAAATGTTGCAGTGGCACAATATAAAAGATAAACGAACAAACATGGAAAAGATATATGGTTAGAAAAAGCAACTGAATTAATTTTATAAAACATTCTCCTCCTCCTCCTCCTTAAAAAGACAAATTCATCGGAAGCCAATGATAATGTATGTGTTGATGAGCCTAACACATCGTTAACTTCATGTACTTCTCAAAAAATGTTTACGCTCTCAATTGTCTACTCTTATACAATTTCCTTTCTTCTACATATACAAAAAAAGAAAATGAAAATAAATTTTTTAAAATCTATTTAACATCAATGAGAATAAGAAACTCAGCAAAATGGAAAATTCTTAATCTAATCAGTGTATTTTTGTCACAAAAAGCACTGCCTTTCATCCTCTAATTCCAATAATTTGCCATACTATCAATTATCACAAAATCTCTCCCTTTTACCCATAATTCCGCAACCTTCAGACCTTCAAATATCCTCTCATACAACCTTTACTCCTCCATCGCTAAATTCCAGCTTCTTAAACTAGATCATAATTACTGTTCAAAGAAAATTCGAAATATTTTCATCGGCCTTGAGGTTTCAAAATACATATTCAATGAAATCTATAAAAATTAGAATTTTTTGTGGTGATAAACTAAACAAAATACGTGAACAAAAGGCAATAGTAAGAGTACCTAGCGATTACATCTAATAAATCAAAATATGCAAGTCAAAAACGGAAGGAAGCACTACAGTCAAATTAGAGGATATAAAGAAGCAGGTAACGAAGGATGGAATTGAAAGCACATCGAACAGAAGACGTCTCATTGTCGGCAGAATAATTAGTAAGGAGACATTAATGAAACAGTAATTCCAACCAGAATCCAGAAATAATCAAGCATTTGTATCCTTAATTAGTGATCCTTCAAAACCCTAAATTTTATATGAATGACACAAATGGATGATTACAGTGGAAGCTTTGCCACTTCGTCGTTTTATCGTTGGAATTACACCAATCTAGACATTACACCAATCAAACTATCCTGAAAATTAGGATAGCTTAATTGTAAAATCAAGTAAGGCAATAAAATGAGACTGCAGTTAAACGATAACAGAAGATTTATAATAATTCTTCCATTCATGACTTCTCCGGAAAAATATTTTGCGCCAAAAATTTCTGTTCCACAAAAAATGCACATATATCCATTAGAAAGCCATACTAGCCTATCATTGGAATGGAATAATGAGCAGAAAAATTATAAGAAAATAAATTATTTGAGGCATAAAATTAAAAGGCACTGCATGAGAATGTCCAAAAAACTGAACTAACCTAATTACCTAATTTTAGCTGTGTGGAAAAACAGAAAATTTTTCGATGAAGAATAAAATTACAAGACATTAACAGTTCGGCTACAAATGAACCGTGATATATCATACAAGCATAAGCGTGATTTTTATTCTCTAATATCTCATCTGAAATACTTCATTTCAGATCCCTACAACAAACTTAAAGTATTAGAACAAACATATTTCCAGAATGGAAGTCAGGTTGTGGAATAAATTTCTAAAAGGACAAGAGTAAGTGCAATATAAACTGTAAGGCTTTCAATTGGATGCAAATGACGTAACAATTATTTTCCCTCTTTCTCACGAATGGATCGAGAGGTGGATGATGAAGAAACAGCTGTTGTTGATTGACTGCTATCAGCAGTAAAATTTTTGATTGAATTCCAGATTTTTGATAAATGTGGCACCGGAATATAGGAGCGTACTGCTTCTGTAGCATTCAGAAGATTTGTTGATGCTGAAAAATTCGTCGTTGAACCACCACCAGCCGATAATTTTGTTCCTGTAATGTCTAATTTAAATTTATAGTGTACAAATTAAAATTTACAAGGACTTGAAGAACTAATTCATACATCACTTGGAGCGATAGTCAGCAAATATGACTTTAATAAAATTGACGCTGCATGTTTGTAATTATGCGGTAAAAGTCACAGCCATAAAATCTACTTAATTTTCGAAGTAGAGATTTCATACGGAAATAATCACGGAAATAAATTTAACCGAAAACATAGTCATATCAGACATACTGCAATTCGCAAATCGTGAAATACTGTATTAAATATCACTTGGTATGAGCGATAATTTTATCAATTTAACAAATTGGATGACGGAAACAAATCTTAACTTCTAATTAAATGTAAAGAGAAAAAGGAAACGAACAAATCTAGTAAACTGTAAAGTTAAAGCAGAGTACTCAAACTTGATATAATGTTATTAAAAAAATAAATATTGACAAAAAGCGTTGAGAAATCTGTGCAATTTGTACAACGTGGCAAGAGCATCTTAATTTGAAGTATGAAAGATTATTTCCCAAAGAAAAAAGTGTCAGTTCTCTTCTCGATACTTTTTTAGGCTTCTCATTAAAAAAGCGAAACAAGACAGAACAAAAGCAAGTTAGTATATGCAAGAAGCTGGCTGACCGATACTGCCACTAAGAGGCAAGCTGGCACGTCTTCCGCTGCTGCTTGATTGTTCAGTAGTTTCCTGATCACGCTCAATACATGCTGAAGTATAATCCCCACTTCTCCGTCTTTCTTCAAGACTTTGCTGTAACGCCACTGGTGTCAACCATTCTCGAGGTAAACAACGCTCCAAAAACGGTATTGAACTCGATACAGTAGCAAGCCGATTTACCCATGATGGTATCTCTTTACCGGTCAGTGTCTAAAAGTAAATTAAAATCAATTATAACTGTAGGCTACAATTACATTATTACATAGAAATTAAATTAAAGTGACATCAAATTCTTATTCGTTGACTTTTAGGAAACAGATTCCTTTTTTATGACATATCTTTCTCTGTTCGAAGTCTTCCTCTAACAACAGCTCGTTATGCAAGCCATATGGTACATTAAAATGTGACTTAAGTTCGATAACAACGTAAATATTTCATTTTTCATTAGACAGTGAGATACGCTTGCTTCCACTTCTGCTAATTTTTTTACTTTTCTCGAGTCGTGTATTTCATTATAAAATCTTGTGTCTTTTGATGACCTAAGGCTATTCTAAAAAAAGCAAATAAAAATACCCATCATATACCTTAGCCAAAGCAGCTGTGAAGTGGTTGCAATTTTTTGAAATTAAGTGATATCTGTCGCCTCTGTATTCACTTCCCAACATCTGGATAAGATGTCTGATGTCAGTGGCGCTAAAGTCGGTCTCACCAATAAGAATACTTTCTCTGAAGATATCCTTTTTTTTAGAATAAATCTGGGTTAGAAAAAAAATTATTTGAACTAACATAAGAGAACAAATATCAAATAAAATTTGAACAAAATTACTTACTTGAATTTAAAATTCTCACCCAACTCTTCTGCATCTTTTGGTGAGTTTTCGAAAATTCCGGAAAATGAGAAAGGATGTCCACCATAAGTATATTCTGAAGTGGAAACAATAAAAACAAAGACAGCTTTCTCACAAATTAATTTAAAAATTAAATTTTTTGATGAAGTTATGGATGAAATAGAAAAAATGTAATACTGAGCTTTAGTGAAAGTATATTAAAAGAAGTTAGACTCACCAACACCATATACTTCGATGCCTGTATGGTATACTCCAAATCCAAGGGTAGAGGCATAATCATTCAACCAATACTAAAATTTTCTACACATAAAAAGCAAGATTTAAATAAGTTAAGTCCAAACTTAACATCTCTACACATGGGCATTCACCAAAGATCTATGGAAAAATTGAAACTGAAGAAATTGGGGTAATTGATATTTCAATTAAGTTGCAATAAATCTGCTACAGTCTTCCTCAATTTTTGTTATAAATTTGATTGTTTGCTCATTGAAACAGAGATGAGAAAGAGAAATGTCTTCGTATCACTTGAATATATATATACATATCTGTGCATTTAAAATATAAAATGCAGCAAAAGAGAAATGGATCCATCCAACTATAAGTCATTTTCCAAGAAATTCTTACAAATAGTCATATATGTGATAGTATTGGGCACTAAAAAAGTGGTATTCGATGACAGGAATGATGGAGGCTTACCATATCGTATACATTCAGCCTTACTGGAGTACGCGCCATATTTGATGACTGATACCTTTGTCGCCAAATAAAAAGGGCAAGAATGGATTAAGCAATAATGTATAACAAGTACCACATTTCTCTGGTAGTTGTCAAAGGATTGTCGACAATACTGTTAATTGAAAATGGATAAAAATGTATTGACCAGAAATATTGCCCCTGCTTTCACCAATGAAATCAATTTAATCGTTAGTACTACAAAAAAGTACCCTAAAACCTTCAGGAAAATAATATGACTTTGAAAAATTTATCTGATTTGCAAAAATGATACAAATTTACGCATATACGAAAAAGTATTTACATAGGGCAAAAATTAGCCATCCATCATTTAGACGCCTAATTTAATGTTTTTTAAAAGAATTAAATTTATCAAAAAAATGTCGAGATCAAATAATAGATCAGTTAGAAAAAATATTTTCATGAAGTATTACTGTGAATGTCCTCGTCCTTACTGTTCTACTTCCTTTCTTGGCTCTTATCAATGCACTATTCACTTGCAGAGACTTTCTGTTAACACATACAAACGTAACAAGATTTACAAAAAGTTAAAGAGAAAATTTACAAACTCTCTCAATTTCCTAACTTCCACACCATCCTGTAGATCAATCATAATAGCATGGAATGCGGAATTACATTCAATGTGATTATGATTAATGGACAAAAATAAATTAACCAGAAATGTTGCTGTTGCTTTCACCAACGAAATCAATTTAATCGTTATACACACGAACACAGACGTACATACACAAACGCAAACACATATACATGCGTACGTTAGTCTACTAAGCGTAAACGTGCATCTCCATTACTATCATATAAATTACTCCATATGATAATTCCGTATACATAACATGTAAATATTACACAATATAGATCATTCCTAATTATTTATAAATGCTATCAGTATGCGACAAAAAATTCATTAGAAGCGTGAACAATGTGAGAGCAATTTTATAAATTTCAAAATAATTACTACAACAACGCAGGTACTCTGTATTTAACTAATAAATCATTAAAATCACGATAGCCTCATGCAACACGGATATTCTATGAGAATAAACTGACGCATTCCCATAAATCTTACTGACAAATTGAAGGGAGAAAAATCACGCATTTTTCAATTGTAATATATCATTATGTTTTCATTCAATATTGTATACCTTATTTTAAATAGTTATATCAAGTCGAGGAATTTTGACAGGTGTGCGAAGTCAAAGAATTTTGGAGTTATAATGGGTTAGGAAATCTGAACCAGCATGTAATGAGAAAAGGTTTCAAAAGTTGTGTAAGTACATGGAATCCAAATGTTGTACTCATCAGCCAACCTCGGCTTAATACCACGTACACCCACAAACTCCCAAAAAACCAACCGGCCATCATGGAAAAACAAGGCTGCCACTTCCGAAATAACTCTCCAACACCATTTCAAGCAGCGATATGCAATCATTGGATCCTAGCCATCATAGTGATATAATTTTAATTCTGGATTGGATTTACATACGATCAGAAACGAACGGATAGGAATTTATTGGAAGAAATATTTTGCAAATAATGACAAATTATTTCAGAAAAGTTCAAAGCAAAGGAAATAATTGCGAGTTTATATTAAATATTCAAATTGTTAACAATATAAAATGAACGAATTTGATAGAAATAAATTAAGAATGAATAAAATATTTAAACAAATTAGATTTAATTGTTTAAGTTAACTGTTGCAGAAAATTTACTTATTGTAAAAGATTTAGCAAATTCTAACCAAATTTAACAAAATGAAATGTGAAAAAAGAAATCTTAACTTCAATCTAATATAACTTCATAAATTCATTTACTTAAGCTATAAATTTCACTAAATTTGATTTTTTTTTTCAAAATTTTCTTATTTAAATTATTTTAATCGAAAAGGAGAAAAGGCCAAGTGGCTAAGCGGCCAAGCGGCTAAGCGGCCAAGCGGTTAAATAAGGGAATAAATTGTTGATAAAAGTAATGAATTTATGAAGGCATTTTTTGAGTGAAATTCCATGGACCTAAATGAAATGAAATGAAAGAATGAAGGAAGTGTGATTCAAATAAGAAGGATATAACAAAGTTGAATGATAAAGTAGAAAGTTAAAAAAGAAATAAACATTAAATTCTCTCCAAAAATACCAAAATGAGATAATAATTATTATTTACAAGTTATTTTGGTACTTTTTAGAATTATTTAAATTTAAGGAATTTTTAAATTCGAACATTTTATTACGATTTTATTTTGTTTGTTTGTTTGTTTGTTTGTTTGTTTAAAATAAAAAAATGACAAATGATATAATAAAAATAACAAATAGAGATAAAAACTATTTGATGGATAGTTTCAATATCTTATTATGAATTTTCTTGTTTGTTTAAAGAAGTTTTAATTATGATTAAAATAGAAAATCGCTGTGAAGAAATAAAGAAATGATGAATTTAAATTAAAGTTGGAGAACTACGAGACGCAGAAATGATGATATAATCTGCTATTATCGTATTTTAAATAAAATAAATTGCAACCAACAATAAATATTGTTATAAGATTTGTTAACGGAATAGCCATGTCATCTCTTTATCTGATATTGCTTACTCATTAGAATAAGAGGATAATAAATCAAATACAAATAAAATCAGAATATCCGATAGCTATTATTTATTAGCATACTATTCAAATTTGGTTGTGTAATAATTTTTTGATCAAATTAGTTAGCTGCATACATTCTTAAATCCTTTTTTTTCACTTCATATAAATGTAAAAAAGAACTGCAAAATTAAAAATATAATAATATGATAATGACAAAGGTTGATATAATTAAGAAAAATAAAAAGAAAATTTTAATTGCAAGCGGCTTAATTAGTTGCATAGATGAAGGGAATAGCATCAATTGTTTTAACACTGTTCCATCAAATAAATATTGCTAATGAAATGAGGTTGTTAAGTACCATGTAATTATGAGCTTCTTTCAATAATTCATTCATCAAAATGTTTGATATAACATAACACTATCATTTACTGCGATATTGTTAATCAGATAATTTAATGATATGATAATATCAAAAATGAATACCGAATAATATTTAAAAAATAGAACTGAAAATTTGAGATTTATTCTTATCGTTTATTTATATTTATTTCAACAACATCAAACTTTCAAATTTAATTTTGTGATTAATCCTAATAACCAAATATATAAGCTACAAGCTAGACAACTGTTTCATGAATACAATGATTAATCTTATATGATATATAAGGATGAAATTTTACCTGATAATTAAGAAGAGATAAAACAACGCTTTGATAGAAATGAGAGATATTTGTCAAATTTTGTAAATTACTTTAATATTTTTCATTGCTTATTTTTTAGCAATTATTTATTTAAAAATTATTGTGAAGGAAAGAGTGGAAGGAAAAATGCTCAATAATTTGAAAATTTACTATTCTTCCCTTCCAGTATATTTGAAACTTGATTTCTTGGCTCATTTTCGAAACTTAATTTATTGGCTCATTTTCACTTGGAAATCACATGGGAAATGGTATTCGAGGATAGCTCAATTGAGACTAAGCCTTTCGTGAATGTACAGTATCCTCATTTTCTTCTGTCAAATCCTCCAGATGATGAGGCTCACCGATAATGTTAATTGAATCACGTGATGATAATGTTGAACGAAATGGCAAATACAAATAATCACCTGTAAAAAAAACAAAGATTTATTTCAATAATAATGTGAAAAAAATCGATAATAAACATCTCTTACTAATATTAAGTAATTATTCATAATTATAATTATAAACTTGAATAGTTTGAACTAATACTTGCCTAAGCTAAATCGTCGCCGTTCTTGGGGAACATCAGTAACTTGCAAATCATTTCCGCATTGATCATTTCGTGACAATTCTTTATCGCAAATATTGCCAGCTTCATTCACTGATCTGAAAATTATTATTAAAAATGATTATGAAAATATCTTGCAGTAATTTTTTTCTTCTTTTATTATTTGAATGAGTAAAAAATATGATGAAATCAATGAAATAATATGCGAAAGGTAAGATTTATCTGCTCCATGAAGCAACTCTTAGCAAATAATCCAACGGACTTCGTGCTGAATCCGTGCTATGAGGCAATGGCATCATTTGAACTTTTTTATCATCTGATAATCTGAAATTGATACCTTCGATGGATAATAATTTTATTCATTAGAATAATATATTTGCTATTGCAGAAAATGTTGCGCATATACTTAAAATAAACAAAAATAGATAATTAAAATTTGCAAAGGTTGAATTATATGCAATTATTATAATTTCAAACGTTTTATAATTTATAAACCTTTATTTCTATTATTGCACATTTTATGATCGCAACATTATTACTATTATTGTGGTATTTGATTAGTTTTATGTCCGATAAGCTTGCTTTTAATTTTAATTAAACATATTCACAGATAGTAATAACTGATAGCAATGTTTATCATTCATAAAGTTAAATTCTTGATAAACAATTGAGATTTCAAAACTGAAAATTTGATAGTTTAGGCTTTGAGCGGGTTTAGGCCTTATCCATTATAGAACAAAAATTTTTTAATAAAAGTTTTTGATAGTTTTTTAAGTGTACAAAAAAATGGAATTTGTGAAAAAATTCTGATGCTGAGAAATTTTATTCGTTTTTGGGAAGAAATAAAAAATCGATAAGAAAACCTAATATGTGCAAGAGAACCGGTAATACTGCTCATACGTCGTTCAAGTATCATCGACTGTTGTGTATAAAGTGGTTCAATAGGTCCTTCCCAAAATGGATCTTTTTCAATTGCTGGAGGTTGATTATAGCCCAAATCAACGATCATTAAGCCTACCTGAAAGTAAAATTATTTATCAATTTTTTGCTTTTAAATGATTAAACATTATTTTTGAATTTAAAAATTTATTTGCTTACTAGTAGCTTAGAATTCAATTTACGATTCTCTGCGATGATTTGTAGTATATGAGCAGTTTAACTGATTATAGTGAGTTAAAAGGTTCAGAGAGAGGTAATTTCTAAGTTAATAATTTATTTTTGCAAAATAAGAGTTTTTTTTTTTTTGTATGTGAGGTGATAATCAAGTAAAGAAAAATTTAAGTTGATTTGACATTTTGTTTACCTAAAATTTAATTAATGGGAAAATATTTCGGAATTTATTTCTAAATTCAAATGTTACTTTTTAATAACTTCCATTATTTGAGATATAGAAAATCGATTAAAACAGATGACAAAATATTTGGAAATAAAAGTAAATTTCAGACAAAATTTAATTTCTTAAAATTTTAAACAAACAGCAAGATTTTTATCGAGTAGAAAATTGCATTCAAAATCATCATCATCTTCGCCAAATGGATTCAGTATTGCTTCAGCTACTTTTAACCATCCCATATAAAAAATAAATTGTAAAACAGACATGAATGGAAAAAATACATCCACCTGAAAATATGATCTTTCGGCATAAACGAAATGATTTAAGGCCCAAAAAAGAAAACCCGAATATCCATAAGATCCTCATTGTATCATGCTCGGCAAATGCTTTCTAGATTTTATTTAACTTTAGTTTTATAATTAAGACTTTTAATTTTTCAATTCTATTTTAATATGTGACATGAAAAATGTTGTTTGGAAAGATTCTGGAAAGATAATGAAGAAGCTTCAAAGTTTTCTTTTTGCTCGAACTAAAACATTCTCAAATTAAAAAAACGATGAACTCAATTTTAGATTGCAAATATTAGAAAGTAAATTATTAATTTTCAAACCGCTTATTATAACTTATTTAAAAGTATGCAATGAAATATCCAGATAGAAGAGATAAAAATTAAATCGATAATTTAATTTTTTCTTTTTTTAAAATATCATTTATCATTTACAGTGTCAAAAATCCTTTCAGGATTGAAATATCTTTAACCAAAAATAAAATCTATAATTGAAGCTTACTTTCGACTTATTAGGCGCTTCATCTGAAATAATATGTTGCCGCGATATGGTACAAACAAAAAAATACAAATGAACGGCGAGGACAACAATTTGAGCATACATAATAGGTAATGGTACCCAATCGAAATTATATAAATTTGCCATATTTGTTCGAAATCGTTTAATTTCCTGCAAAAAATTTCGTTTTTTTTTTTAAGTTATTAATAATTTTATTCCATCAATTACAGCAATTAATCACAATTAATTTAATATATTAATTAAATTTAATCATTTATATTCACATATATTTGTTTATTCATTTGTTTACTTATATATTTATGTTTATGTTTTATGCCATCACAATTATGCCAAATTATGTTCGCTCATCTTTTTTATTTATTAGTTTATTATTTATTGTAATGATTTTATTTTAGTTAATATTCATATATTATATTCATACCTGTTGTTTTAATTTTAAATTAATTAATATTTTTAATAGTTAAAAAAATTTTAATTTTTGTTTTTCTCAAAATTTTCTTTAACTTCCAAATATGAAAAAATTTTTTTTTCCCGTTAATTCTTTTCTTCCAAACATAAAAAAATTGAATTTTTGCTAATTCTTTAAAATTTTTTAAAAGAAAGAAGAATATTTTGAATAATTAAGTTATATCGGTAAATAAAACTTACTTCACTAACTTTCTGTTGCAGCCAATCACTTGCTATCTTTTGCTGTTGTCGTGCATCATCGCAAATTGCTAAAGCCCATTGAAATGGTACCCAATGCTTATCATAGCGATAATGAAGTTCATCTAATTTAGCTTTCTCATGTGACATCATAAATCCTAAATAATATCTTTTAAAATGTGAATGGAATTTTGGTAATTCCTTTCAACTTAAAATATTAAACGATACAATGATTAAAACAGTTACTTCGCATCACTTATTGGTAAATTAATTTATTGTTCGCTGGTAAAAAAAGTGTGACTTTACTAAAGAAACCTGCCGCAACAACGGAATCTAATGTCGGAAATCGTTTCCGCACTTTCATGCTAATATCACGAAAAACGAGCGCTTGCGATAAGACACAATAACGGACAATATTACGACGCATTTTCCGTGACCTTTCATCATCACCACATACATAGGCTGCTGTCATCAATGCTATACTACAAATGTTATGTAAATGTAATTAAATTTATACTTTGAAAGAAAAACATTTTCTTGGAATTAAGTAAAATGTTTAAAATAAATCATTCAAGCTTTTAGGCTTTTTACAACAGATTGAATGATATTTTTGACAAGCAAATATATCACAGTGTTGAATGATTAACATAAAATGTAGAAAAGTATAAGGAAAATAAAAAAAGGAAAAATAGCACAAACTTATCAATGTATCCAATATTGTTAAAGAATTTGATCCATCGATTCAGAACGGATGTGACAAAAAAGCCGAGCATAAAATCAAGCGGTATTAGATTTAATTTTTCATCCAATAAATGAGCAATTCTTTCAAAATCTCTATAAAATTATCATTGAAATTAAAAAATTAGACTTTAAACTAATAAAAATGTATAAACGATATTGCTTTATTTATTGAAAAGTACAGCTGTAACGTAACCATACATATATATCATTTTGTTAATCACCTTATAAACGTATAAGATTGATTAAGCTATTATGACGATATTATTTTGTATAAGTTAACGAAAATTGTCGGTACTCTTTTAACATATTAGAAAATTTTTTAATGCTTGGTTCAATGAAATTCAATATTACTGAAATGATGTTTGTAACTGAAGAAAGAAGAATTTTAATCAAATTTGGTTTTATTAGCTTTGATTCAATCTCCAAGAAATTGTGAGAGTAAATTTCAGTTAAAAACTTTTTTAGAATGCAAATTTTCCTTCAACGCTTTCAAGATATTCATAGAAGTAACGAAATCGAATCATGCCTGATTTGTTGATGCGATAACACTTTGCGATAAATAATACCAATCGTAAAATAAAGTAATAACCAAATAACAAGTTCAAAGGTCACCGATTTCCAAACACTTCCACGCCAACGAAATAATAATTTGAACAATGTCCATGGTCGGGATGTTGATACAGCCAAATTATATTTTACTGTCATCCTTCAAATAAATCAAGTAGTTTTTCGAAATTTTTACCCTCTCTTCTGCTTTTAATTCAAATTTCTCGATTGTAAATTTCTGAATGATTCATCTTATCAATATGATTTAATTGGAATAATTCTAATGATATCTTCTTTATGAAATTATTATGGTGAAAAAAATTTTGTTTTCTACAATTTGTGGAAAAATAAAATGAATGAAATTTTTGATCGTTGAATTAAACGAGCAAAAGAAAGACGAATTCTCGAAAATAATATTTGTTATTGAGCAAAAGAAAAATTTATAAATACAACAAACTAATGAATTATAAATATCAATAACACTTTAGCATATATTTCTTGACTACCTATCCGGTTGCTACGATAGCATTTTGTGATTTTCATTTATTTCACACACGTGTATGGCGGCGCACAACACGATACCTTCTGATGAAGACGATTGTACAGTGGTTGATGGGGTGAGA